GGCACCCTGGGAGGCCGGCCCGAGGGTGGGAGTCGCAGGCAGGTTGCCCTCTCTCTGTCATCCTCCTTCGGACCGCTCGGCCCTGGCAACTCCTGGGACCCACGCTGCGCGAACCCGCGCTGGGTGATCGACCCCCTCTCTCCCTTCCAGCGTGGGGAGGGGCGGGCGCGGCCGCAGATGCCCTCCTGCCCTGGCATTGGGCTGCCCCTCGCGTCGTCCAGCCGGGAGTCGGGGCGCCAACTCATTCCAATGGCAAATGGTGCCCAAGCACGAGGGCTCGGCCAGGCTGGGGAAAGTGCCTACCGCAGCGAGGGTCACTTTGTCTGCGGGAGACCACAGGAGGGGCAAGGCCTCGGGGCCCCGCCTTCCGGGGCTGTGCCCAGAAGCTAGTTCCAGTGGCTTCCGCAGGTCGTCTGGCTCTGGACTGGGGAGGATCAGTCTCCCTGTCTTGCGAGCGGTTTAGCGAGTGAACCCAGGATACAGTTGACACTCAAATTCTTCCTGTGGAAATGGAAACTCCTCCGGTGTCGTTCTCCTCAAATTCTTGCGTTGGAGAAAGGAGTGCCCTCCCTGACCCGTTGCCCGGTGTCCTGGAGGCCGGTTAGCATAGTGGCTAAGGATGTCAACGCGGGAGTCAATTGTTATCTGTTTCTTTCCTTGCTTTGGCATGTTTTCTGTGTCTCTGAACCTTAGTTTCCTCCTCTGAAAAAGAGGATGTAATGATAGTATCTACTGCACTGGGGTATGGTGATGTTAAAATTAATATGCTATTAAAGTACTTTGTACAGTTCTTCATAAGAAGTAGGGCTCAGTAAATGCTAACAATTGAGGAACAGGTCTTTATTATTCTCAAGTTGATGGAACTGGAGGAGTCTTGTCAGAAAGGGTCAGTGAGGTGGAATTCAAGGCTACTTTTGGCGCCTAAACAAGACAGTTGTTTGGATGGGTTCCCTCAAGGGCATATGGGAGTTTGTATTGTAGGTGGTGGTGTTGGCATCTGCTGTCTCCAGGACAGGCACTATACTTGGTCCGTTTTCCTGTTCTTGGCATCTTCCTTGTCAGGCATTGTATGTAGCCAGTGACTGTTGAATTGAATTGGAACCATGGGAAGATTAGGAGGGTCTCTGCCAAATGTGGATAAATGTGCTTCTGAGAACAGTCTACCCTAAGAGCTGCTTCCTGGGAGAAGTGGTGATCCTCAGCATGTCCCAGGGCTGCAGAGCCACGAAGGCAAGTGGGGTTGATATACGTATTTCCACAGTATATACCAAGTGCAGGATTGGGGAACATTTTGAAGGAAGTACTGTATGGATAGACTCTTGCAAAGCTAGGGAGTGATTCTCTGGCAGTGAGAAAGTCAAAAGAAATGGGGTTTAGGCTGGGCTCAGTGGCTCAACCTGTATTCCCAGCACTTTGGGAGGCCGAGGTGAGTGGATTGCCTGAGCCCGCGGGTTCGAGACCCGCCTGGGCAACTTGGCGAGACCTCATCTCTACAATAAATCAAAAATGAGCCGGGCGTGGTAGCGCGCGTCTGTAGTTCCAGCTACTTGAAAGGCTGAGGCGGAAGGATCGCCGGAGCCCAGCAGGTTGAGGCTGTGGTGGCCGGGAGCGGCCACTGCACTCCCTCTGAGTGACAGAGTGAGACTCCAACTCAAAAAAAGAAAAAAGAAATGGGGTTTAGATACTATAACTGGAAAGGAGTGTCTTCCAGTGAAAGATGGAAGTGCCTTGTAGATCAGACCATTCTGCAAGTTAAGAAGTGTTGTACATACTTATGTATGAAGGAGGACCAAAAACACCCGGAGTTATTTTTTAGGGGGCAAGCCCCTTGTAGTACAGGCTTCCCCCACTAGGTAAGTGTTCTAGGAACCCATCGGCATTAATGTCCCAGCCAGCGTTGTTGTAAGAGGCTGCGCTTGGCTTCAGTGAATTTTTTTTGGAGATTCTTTCAATGTACTTGTCCATTTGTGTTGGGTGATTGACGAGCGCACCTGCCCACAGCGGGCTGAGTGTTCAGCAGATTTTGACCAAAAGTGGCATGACGCCCATGCCCCACCCACCTTCTTTACCTGGTCTTGCCCCAGTGGCTCTTTTTGTTTCCGAGTGAAAAAAGTCCTCAAAAGGAAACATTCTGCTGATGTGGAAGAGGTGAAACAAAAAACAGCAGAAGCACCAGAAGGTATCAAAATTGATGAGTTCAAAACTGTTTTGAGCAGTGGGAAAAGCGTCTTGATAAGTGTATTGCAAGCTGGGCTCGGTGGCTCAGCCTGTAATCCCGCGCCTTTGGGAGGCTGAGGTGAGGGGATTGCCTGAGCCCGCGGGTTCGAGACCCGCCTGGGCAGCGAGACCTCATCTCTACAATAAATCAAAAAATCAACCGAGCGTGGTAGCACATGCCTGTAGTTCCGGCTACTCGGAAGGCGGAAGGATCGCCGGAGCCCAGCAGGTCGAGGCTGCGGCGGCCGGGATCGGCCACTGCACTCCAGTCTGGGCGACAGAGTGAGACTCCAACTCAAAAAAAAAAAAAAAGAGCTGTATGCAATTATTGGCAGCTCTACCTAGGCTTTTTTGTGATTCCAGTAGAGGGAAATGATGCATTTGGTTGCAGGAGCTTCTCTGAGCTCAGTGGGTCAACAAGTAGAGAGACAGTAGTTGATGGATGGCCGTGTGTTTCATGTGGTGGGAGAAGATGGAGGCGAGCATTTGAAGAACAGGTTAGCGTCTCCATCTTTCTCATTACCAAGTGGATTTTAAACTTGATTTATACTTGTTCTATTTAGCAGTTAAAAAAGGACTATTCCTACTTGGAAGGCTGAGGCGGAAGGATCGCCGGAGCCCAGCAGGTCGAGGCTGCGGTGGCCGGGAGCGGCCACTGCACTCCAGTCTGGGCGACTGAGTGAGACTCCAACTCAAAAAAAAAAAAGGAATATTCTGGTCAGGCAGGGTGGCTCATGCCTGTCATCCCAGCACTTCAGGAGGCAGAGGCGAGAGGATTGCCTGAATCCAGGGGTTTGAGACCAACCTGGGAAACTTGGCAAGACTAGTCTCTAGACTAGGTAAATAAATAAATAATCAATCAATCAATAATCAGCCGAGTGTGGTGACCCACACCTGTTCCAGCTACTTGGAAGGCTGAGGTGAAAGGATCACCTGACCTCCAGCCTGACTGACAGTGAGACACTGACTCAAAAAAAAAAAAAAGATACAGGAATATTACTTTTAACTTAGCAGTTTTACTTTGTCCAAAGCAATTTGCCAGGTACCGTGGGGGATATCCAGTTGAAGAAGACATGGCTCATGCAACAAAGGGTTGTAGTCCACTGGCAGAGAAGGGCCAGCACATACATAATAGGAAGAAGTTAACCAAGGGTAGTGGGGTCAGTTAGGAGTCTCTCAGTTGCATGCAGTTAAAAACCTAACTCAAGCTGGGCTTGGTGGCTCAGCCTGTAATCCCGCGCCTTTGGGAGGCTGAGGTGAGTGGATTGCCTGAGCCCGCGGGTTCGAGACCCGCCTGGGTAGCGAGACCTCATCTCTACAATAAATAAAAAAAAAATCAGCCAGGCGTGATAGCGCACGCCTGTAATTCCGGCTACTTGGAAGGCTGAGGCGGAAGGATCGCCGGAGCCCAGCGGGTCGAGGCTGCGGTGGCTGGGAGCGGTCACTGCCCTCCAGTCTGGGCGACAGAGTGAGACTCCAACTCAAAAAACAAACAAACAAACACCTAACTCAGACCAGCTTAAGCAAAAGGGACTGGGCTTCTGGCACAGCTTGAGATGGGGCTTGGATGGTGTCCCCAGGCTCCATCAGCCTGAGCTGGACTGTCTTTTTGTTAGTCAGACTGCTTTCCCTAGTGGTGTGGTAGCAGCATCCCTCACCTCCTGCACAGAGCAGAGAATGCCCTTATTTGGAAATCCCAGCAAGTGTTCCTTTGCTTTTCATTGGCCATGACCAAGCCGCATGGGTTTCTCTTTGTCAATCACTGCGAAGACAGGGTGGGGTACATTAACTGTATTAGCTTATATTGCATCTTACACATCTGGCTTCCAGAGATGGCACCAGCTTTATGCAGAGTATGTTGGACAAGAATAGGGCAAGGATGGTTTCACCAAAGCCAAAAAGGACACTGGATTTATAAGAATAGGGAATGCGTGCTGGCTAGCCCAGGAATCCACCCAATGTTTTTACATAGTGATGATAAAAAGGAGGCTGTACTTGCCAATCTCAAAGTCCTAGATTGAGAGACTGGAGATTCAACTATAATTCTTAGATTTGGATATTTTCTATATTTTGAACATTAGAGCATTGACTCTGGTGGCCAGCAGACCTGGTTTTGTGTCCTGGCTCTGTTACCGCTGAGTCATCTCCTACCCTCAATTTCCTTATCAGAAAAATGGGAACAATATGAATTTTTACTCATAGGATTTTTTATAAAAAATTTTTTTTGAGTCGAAGTCACACTCTGTTGCCCAGGTTGGAATGCAGTGGCATGCTCACAGCCACTGCAGCCTCGACCTGCTGGGCTCAGGAGATCCTTCCACCTCAGCCTTTCAACTAGCTGGAACCACAGGCATGCACCACCATGCCTGGCTAATTTTTTTATTTATTGTAGAGACGAGGTCTTGCCAAGTTGCCCAGGTTGGTCTCAAACCCATGGGCTCAGGCAATCCTCTCACCTTGGCCTCCCAAAGAGCTGGGATTTTAGGCGTGAGCCACCCCACCTGGCCTTATAAAAATTCATTGAAAGAATCCGTATGAAACACTAAGCACTTGCCCACATGCAGTTAGCTATAGCTATTTTTGGTTGTTTTCAAAAATTAATTAAGCCAGTTGGATAACCTCTGATTTTTGTTAGATCCAAAACAGCCCACAGCCTAAAGACACTATTGGACCAGTGGTTCTGGAAGACTTGTTTGAAATTTAAAAAGAACATCTCACTTGTAAGGTTGGGATTTGTGAATGAACTTAAGAAAAATCTTGGCGGAGACACAGGCCACTCCAGTGCAGCAACAGCTGGCGGCGCAATGGAGATGCAATCCTATTACGCCAAGCTCCTGGAGGAGTTGAATGAACAGCGGAAGAGGGACTTTTTCTGTGACTGCAGCATCATTGTGGAAGGGCGGATCTTCAAGGCCCACAGGAACATTTTGTTTGCTAACAGCGGCTACTTCCGAGCCCTGCTCATTCACTATATCCAGGACAGTGGGCGGCATAGCACTGCCTCCTTGGACATTGTCACCTCCGACGCCTTCTCCATCATCTTAGATTTCCTCTACTCCGGGAAGCTGGATTTGTGTGGGGAGAATGTGATCGAAGTGATGTCGGCGGCCAGTTACCTGCAAATGAACGACGTGGTGAACTTTTGCAAGACGTATATCAGGTCGTCCCTTGACATCTGCCGGAAGATGGAGAAAGAGGCTGCGGTGGCGGCAGCAGTGGCGGCGGCGGCGGCGGCGGCGGCGGCGGCAGCTCATCAGGTTGACAGTGGAAGCCCCAGTTCAGGCAGGGAGGGGACCTCCTGTGGGACCAAGAGCTTGGTTTCCTCTCCAGCCGCGGGAGAAGAGAGTGTAGACTGCCCAAGAGCGTCCCCTTGTGGTGACTGCGGAGACTGCCACGCCCTGGAGCTGGTGGTGAAAGACGGCCAGGGTGGTGGCTCCGGGGACCATGACCTTTCTACTCCACCCACCCGGAGAGAGCCCAAGGTGGAATTTGATGCTGATGAAGTGGAGGTGGAAGTCGGTGAACAACTGCAGCAGTACGCCGCCCCGCTGGGCCTGGCCCACATGGAGGAGAGCTCGCCCGGTGGCCAGGCCGTTGACTTGGCTTACAGTCACTACCACGTGAAGCAATTTCTGGAGGCGCTCTTGCGCAACAGTGCCGTCCAGAGCAAAGATGATGCGGACCATCACTTTTCTCGGAGTTTGGAGGGAAGACGAGACGGTGCAGGAGTAGCCGTGAGTTCCGTGATGGATGTCCAGACTGATTGGTATGGAGAGGACTCAGGTGAGCTCCATTAGCATTCATCGGCTCTGCAGGTCACTTGGCACGCGCCATCTGTACCGTGTGTTCTCCTACCATCACGATCCTCATCACCGCTGTCATTGTCATTGTCACTACCATCCTCATCATGGTCACCAGTATTGCCACCACCACCAATATGTATTAATTGAGCACTGGCCGTATATAGGGCATTGTTTCTTCATGTACGTTTGTGTTTTACCTCTGCAACTAGAGTGTAAGCTTGAGGAGGGCAGTTTGAAGATGTGGAAAGAAGCCACTCTTTCCCACTAACCAGCAGTGGGACCTTGGTTAAATCACTGAATCTCTTTTCACCTGTTTTGTCATCAGTATTGTGGGGATAATTGTCCTTGCACTGCCTTTCTCACAGGGTGATTGTGAGGACCAAATGAGAAAGTTTTCAGATTTTTTTCTCACATATCATAATGTATATGGTACATGCAGAAGATTTATACTTCTCTGTGAGGGCCATGATGTCTGGCTCTTAGTAGGCACTCAGTCAGCATGATGTGGTTGAGAGTGTTTTAGAGCTGGTGTTTGGTTCTAATTCTTTGGAGGGCTTTTGTGTTTTAGGAGTTTTGGCTGTTTCTTTAAACAATTCTGAGAATTAACATAGTTTCTTAACAGGAGATAATTGTGTGCAAGGTGTCTTGCAGGAGGCAAAAATAAATTTGGTTTTCATCTTACTGATGAAAGGTGCCCTCTAAAACCTCAAGCCAAGAAATACACGGGTCACATTTCTAGTTCATCCTTCAATATTGAGTAGAGAAAGTCTTTTAAATAAAGGGAGAGCCGGGTTGGGTGGCTCAGCCTGTAATCCCGCGCCTTTGGGAGGCTGAGGTGAGTGGATTGCCTGAGCCCGTGGGTTCGAGACCC